TAACACAAATAAAATAAATACAACATTTCTTCTACATAAATTAATAAAAAAACAATTTAAAATTTACAAAAAAATTAAACAAATCAAAAAATATTAAAAAAAAAGAAGAAAATAAAATAAAAGAAAAATTGAATTAAAATGAATTTATTTTGAAATAGTTTTTACTTTAGCAATAACTTCGTCCAAATTTAATTCACCAGCATCAGTAGCTTGAATTTCAGCTGAAAGCCCAACAAGAGCTTGTTTAATAGTAGCTTTAGTAGCAGAGTATAACATCTTTTCTCTAATCTTGCATCCTTCTGGAGTCCATAAGTAGAAGATAATCTTTTGTCTTAATCCTTCTGGAGTGTCATATTCAAGATCATAAACAGCATATCTTGCTGACTTTTCTGGAAGATCCTTAAGGAAGTCATCATATGTTGCATTCTTTTCAGCAGTCTTTTCAACAACAACTTCAGTCATACCGTCATTCATTTTAAAGACAATGTATCTATACTTATGAGATAATTTAAAATCATTGTAAACACTAGTGACTTCATCTGCAAGTTGAATTCCAGCCATTCTTCAAGTAATGTTTTTTTTAAGTTGACCTAACCCTTAAATACTCATTTCTTTTGATCTTGAAGAGTTGAACTAATATTTTCGCCGTCCATTATTTTTCTTTCTTCTTTTTTAAAAATCCTTGTAAATTCCCATTTTATTACTTTATTTCCCTTTATCTTTTTTCTTTTTTTTTAAATATATTTAGAATCCTTTTTTTTTAGTTTATTTCTAGTTATATCATTTTATTTAAACTACTTGAACTTTTCTTCATTTCTTGAACTTCTTTCTCATTCTTTCTTATTCATTTTCTTCTTTTTAAAATATTTTTTCTTTCTTTTTAAAAACAATTTTTATTATCTGTTTTTGAATTGATATTTTTTGGGTAAATTGTCTTTTCTTTTTGTATTTGGTGTTTTTTATCTTCTTCTTATTGACCTTGTCTGATTGGATTATTTGAAAATTTTGATTTAAAAATGTGATTTGCATCATTACTTACTTCTTTGTTAATCTAATTGAAAACAATGATTTAACTTACTTGATTTATTTGATAGAAATGCAAAATAATATACAAAATGTCTTATATTTATTATTTTTATGAATTAATTTAAACAATTATTTGTCGTGTATGATAATCAACATCAGCAGTTGTTTTTTCTTATTTTAATTACTTTATTTATTATGTCTTGTTTATTCTATTAACTATAATTAATTTGGTTATAAATTTTGAAAATTAAATATATAATTTAAATCATAATTCCTTATTTATAATTAGTATTTGTATGAATGAATAACAAATATTTTTATCAAAGAATTATTAATTTTTTAAGTTTTAAATAAAATATAAATAATAACAACATTAAATGAAAAATTATTATTATTTCTTGTAATAGAAAAGTTCATTTCTTCAAAATTTCTTTCGGCAAAAATCAAATTTATGGAAAGAAATGCAAAAAAAAAATATTAAATATGGTTATAAAAAAAAGAAAAAATGAAAGAACAAAAATTAATAAATACGAAGAAAAAACGAAAAAACGAAAAGTCAAAAACAATGAACTGATACGTTTAAATATTTTTAACTAAGAACTAACTGTTCACTTAATACTACATGTCATCGAATGACTTATTATCTGGTTATTATCAACGATCTTTTTATACACAAACAAATAATATTTCCTTCAATGTTCCTTCATTTACACCATTATTAATTCCAATCTTTCATGTAACATCATTAACTTCTCCAATACCTAGTTGTGATGATACAATGGAAGACTCTTCAACAGATACATTAAGTATACATGAAATTGATGACTTTAAATTAACACATCAACTCATTAATCAGATAATCAAATGCACAAAATCAGAAGAAGACAATTCTTATGAACTTCAACCACAACTTGAAGTAAAAGTAAAAGAAAAAATAAATGAAACTTCAAGTGCTAGTTATGTTACACCATATATTGCACAAAATGATTCAACATTAGAAGAATTAGAAAAAGAAATTCACTCTGATTTAATCAAAAAATATGAACGTAAAGAAAAAAAGAGATTTCATCCTAAAAAATCTTCGTCTAAAAATCTTTTCGAATCACCAGATAAACGTAAAACAATGATGAGAAAACGTAGAAAAAATTATAAACAAGAAGAACATAATCGATGGATATTAGACTCTCTTAAAATTCTTATAGGATTTGTAATCATTTTATTATGTTGTGTATTAATTTGGAAAAGTCATACAGAAATGATTGTAATGTAAATATACTTACTTACTTTTTTTTTTATTTCTTTTGTTTTTACAAAAATGAATTGTTTTAAAGTTTTTTAAAAATTAATTAATTGCATTTTCCAACATTGAGTACTCCAAGATATAATAATAACAATGTCAATAATAACACTGCAAGACATATAATTGGGCAAATTATCCATATACTTATTTTGATCCACAATTTTTTTGTTATCCAAGGGTTTTGATGTGCAAATAATCCAAAAGCACAAATTGCTCCTCCAATAAAACCAAAGACATGTGCTGAATAATCTATTCCAGGTGCAAAACTAAATACAAAGATAATTATTATTGATATCATTAATCTTCCAATAAGACTTAACCATACTCTGTTTTCAAATTTTTTTTTGTTGATTATAATATCAACAACAAATCCTCCAAATATTCCAAGCAACGAACCTGAAGCTCCAACTCCAATACTTGTTGGTTGACAAATAATAGAAAAACAATTCCCAATAATACCACTAACAAAATAAACAATCAAAAATCTGAATGAATTCCATCTACGTTCTATAATCATCCCAAGTCTTAATTGCATTGTTAAATTACAAAGTAAATGAATAATTCCTCCATGAAGAAAAATAGGGGTTATTAATCTCCATAATTGATAATTACATTTAATCTCATAGTCATTCTTCGCTCCTAAAGTGTTCATTGCTTTTGATGTTGGTCCTAACATCCAATTAATTGATGGTTTCTCAAAGCCATCTAATGAAATTTCTACAATTAACATAATAATTTGAACAATTGATAACATAAAACTTGCTGAAAATAGTGCTAAACAATACCTATGTGAATTTGCTGGTGAACATGGTGGTGGAATAAAACATGGACAACATGAATATCCATAAAGCTTAAAATAATTCACAGGAATTGGCACTTCTAATTCTTGAGGATTTCCATCTACCCCATATAATTGGGCTTTAGCTGTTGAAGTAGGTGTTGGTTCTCTATCATCATCCATATCTTTGTAAACAACTCGAACCTCATGTCTCCCCTCTTTTTCATTACTCCAATCAAATGTATGTATATTGTTATGTGGTGGAGAATGCATTCTTTTTTCTTTTCAAAAAAACCAGTTTTTATTTTCATTTTCTCTTCTTACAGGAGATTTCCTAACTTTTCAGGATATTAAGTTAACTTTTCATTTAAAAAAATAGTAATTGTTCATGACTTTATTAAATGAAAAGACAATTTGATGAATAAATTAATAAAATTTTATTGTCTTCATTTCATCCAGAAGAATTATATCAATTCTTTGTCTATAAACGAGAAAGTTTCATTACACATATCATTTTCTATTTTTTAATTTACACAATAATAAAATAACTCTCCTTGTAGTGCTAACATAAATTTAAATATGTTGAACATTAAAATAAATATTCAACAATAATAAACAAAACAATTACGCAACATAAACCATTTAATATTAAATAACTAAATAAAAATCAATTTGTGATAAAAGAAAAGAAGAGGTTTAATAAGATTGAAGAAAATGATAAAACGATATTACTGTTTAATTAATGAAATAATTTAATTCTCTCATACCAATATTTTATTATAAGTATTTAAAAGTACTACAACTCATAAGAATAAATACTTAAATAATAAAACATGATAAATTAAAAGCAATTTCAATTGATAAGTGTCAATTAAATAAATATCCACTACCAAGTTATATTCTTCATCTACAAACATCTCTTTTTTTTCTCAAGAAAAAGGGTTTGTAATGACTTTGATATGTTCAGATGAAATTTTTAAATGAAAAAACAAAAAAACTAAAAAGTAGTCATTAAAATGAACAGACAATCACATCTCATCCTGAAAAATATTCAAAAAGGAAATAATCCTATTATTGTTCACACCCCATTCAGAATGACTGGCACTTTTGATGGGGTTATTTCATTTGATCATAATCGTTTTCTATTTAATGGAAATGCAAAAGTCATTGATGAAAACGCAATGGATATGGAATTAAAAGATGAATTAGACAAAGTAATTGACCAAGAAGAACAAAAAATAACTCAACAACAAGAAAAACAATTAAAAGAGGTTGAAGAAGAAAAGGTAATAAAGAAACAAAATGAAGAGACAAAAAAAATAACTCCTACTAAAGAACTAAATGATGAGATCGTTGTTTCATCAGAAGGAGAAGAGAGTAATGAAACAATTGTGAGAACTACACCACGAGTAATTTCTATTCACCAAAGACTCTTAAATGAAAAAAAACCAAGAATTTCATCAATAGTCAAAGAATCTTCTAATTCATTACCTAAAAAGGAAAGTAAAAATGTAAGTGTTCAAACAGAAATGGAGTCATTACAAAGTAAAGAACTAAAACAAAATGATGAACAGACAAAAGAAGTCAAACCAGCAAAAGAAATTAAAGCTACTGAAGTGATTATTAATATTAACAAAGACAATAAACAACCAGAAGTAAAAGAAGAAAATAAAAAAACTACGTTTGATGCAATTGCTAGTGCAACAGACAATTTCCTAGAATCGTTGTTATGTCTAGAGTGTAGCTTCGATGATTAACATCTTGTGTTAGCTTTAAATGATTTTATGTTATTTAAAACAAAAATAAAGGTTTAAAAAAGGAAAAAAGCAAAAATCATAAAAAAGAATAAAATTGAAACAATCTTGAAAATCATTTATAATATTAAATAAGTCAACAATGTTACAACTAATTGTATGGTTAATAATTGTAACGATGAGTGTTGCTGTAGAGCAGTGTGGAAAAGTTTGTTCAAATCAAATTTTATTAACCGAAAATAATATCATTACATCTATATTTTATTGATATGAAAAGACATATTTTATGTTCGATATTTAGGTAAATAAAATTTTTAAATGAGAAAATAATGTTAACTCAATAGGTTTGTGAACCGCAATGTGAGTATCTTCACTGCTTTGGGAAACAATGTAAGTGCCGTATGGTTCATCTCGAATATCTTCTCTCTACAATCGAAAAGAAAATGAAACGATTGGAAGCTATTGAAAGAACATTAAACAAAGAAGTTGAAAATGATATGAAGGATATGTCAATTTTGGTTGGTATTAAAGACAGAAAATTATTAATGTGTAAAATGAGAACAATTAGAAAGAATTTGAGAAAAATTGCAATGTTAAAAGTTAAGTTAAACGCTCAAATGAGAAAAGGACTTAATATGATTTCATATGATAATCAAGCAAGACTAATCAGATGTTTATCACTTGAGCACCGTGTTATTATCAGATATAGACATATTGTGATTAAAGAAGAGTCTTCATACATTCCAACAACATCTTCTAGTTCGCCAGTACATAGTTCAAGTGTTCCAGTTCATAGTTCTAGTCATCCAGTACGAAGTTCAAGTATACCAATAAGAAGTTCAAGCACACCAGTAAAAAGTTCCAGTCATCCAGTTCACAGTTCAAGCACACCAGTAAAAAGTTCAAGTGTACCAATACATAGTTCCAGTCATCCAGTGCATAGCTCAAGCACACCAGTTCAAAGTTCTAGTCATCCAGTGCATAGTTCTAGTCATCCAGTGCATAGTTCTAGTCATCCAGTTCACAGCTCAAGTGTACCAGTTCACAGCTCAAGTCATCCAGTACATAGTTCAAGTGTACCAGTGCATAGTTCCAGTCATCCAGTTCACAGTTCAAGTGTACCAGTGCATAGTTCTAGTCATCCAGTTCACAGCTCAAGCACACCAGTTCAAAGTTCCAGTCATCCAGTTCACAGTTCAAGTGTACCAGTGCATAGTTCAAGCACACCAGTTCAAAGTTCTAGTCATCCAGTACATAGTTCTAGTCATCCAGTTCAAAGTTCCAGTCATCCAGTTCACAGTTCAAGTGTACCAGTGCATAGTTCAAGTGTACCAGTGCATAGTTCAAGTGTACCAGTGCATAGTTCCAGTCATCCAGTTCACAGTTCAAGTGTACCAGTGCATAGTTCTAGTCATCCAGTTCACAGCTCAAGCACACCAGTTCAAAGTTCTAGTCATCCAGTTCACAGCTCAAGTGTACCAGTTCAAAGTTCAAGCACACCAGTACATAGTTCTAGTTCACCTAAACATGGCTCAAGTTCTGTTCCTAAGTTTGATTCATCTGAACCAAAGAAATGCCCACCTGAAAAGAAAGATGTTTTTGAAAAGTACAAAGAAAAGTGCAACACCCAAAAGAAAGATGTTTTTGAAAAGTACAAAGAAAAATGTGATACTCAAAAGAAAGATGTTTTCGCTCAATACCGTGAAAAATGTGTTAAAAAGCGTGATGAATTTGGTGTGTTGAGAAATAAATGTGATTTACCTAAAAAAGAAGCTCCTGAAATTAAGATTTGGAAGAAAGAGCGTTGCCCAAGAAATTCTGATGAATTAGCTAATGCATCACCAGAAACCAAGCTACGATGTAAAAACATCAAATTTTAAAAGGTAACTATGTTGTTCGATTCCAAAATGTTTTTGAATTTATAAAAAATTGGTTTAGTTTTTATTATTTAAGAAAACGTCAATTAAGATGTAATAAATGATAAAGTCGTTGAAGTTTTTGCTTCTTATATTCTTTTTTTGCTTTTTTTGTCAAATCAATGAGTTTAGCAATTGTTTGGTCCAGTTGAGATTGATTAAAATTGAAATAAGTGTCTTTTGTTTTATTTAAACATTTTTTTATTTGTTTTAAACAATTTAATTTATATTTATATGATTCATAAATAAGTTCAGATTGTATTACATGTAATTTTCTTTTAACTTCTGGTTCAAATAATAATTCAAGTTCATAATTTTGATGAGAATTGTAATTTGAAGGGAGTCTTGGTGTTGTTGTTGGTATGTTTATTCTCAAAAATTGAGTTAAACTAACTGGGGTGATTGTTTCTTGTTCTTGAGATAGATTTATTGTTGATGTCTCACTAATTTCTTTTTTGATTAATGGTTGTGTAGTAATAGGGATTTGTTCAATTAATTCAGGGATAAAATGTCTATCTTCTAGCAAAGAGTTTTCGCTATAATATGTAGGACCATTCATAGTCAGTTTATTTATTTTTCGTAAAAGGGTCATTCATATATTACTTTCTTTTCATCTCAAAAAAGTTAATAATCTTAAATAAGTAAAAAAGAAGGAATGGAAAGAACGATACTTAAATACCTTCAACTACCATCAAATGAAGGAAAAATAATTGGATTGTTTGTATTAACAAAGAGGTATGAATTTATTATGAAGAGGAATAAAGGTAAAACATTATTGTCTTTTAGTAGTGAATTTATTCAGTATTACAAAGCAATTGGTCCGACATTTTTCTGTAATTATATTGAACTTCTTGAAACCCAAAATGAGAATGAACCAACTTCAGAAATGTTAATAACATTATTACAACTGTTTATTCATTCAGATGAAGTAATTAATCATTCAATGAGTTATCCAATTACATTATCCTTAGTTTCAAGAATTTTTAATGAACCTTCATTACAACAATCATTACCAACAGTCTTAGTAATTCTTGGTGCATTATTTCATAATCCACAAATCAAAAAATCTAAAAAAATTAAAGAAATTCTTCCCAATATCTATTCAAAATTAGTTTTATGTGAAGCCATTCATTGGTTCAGTCAAATTATTACTATTCCAGAATACTGTACTAAATTTGCTCAATGTATTTCTAAAACCCCACAAATTGTTGTTGTTAAATTAATTCCTTGGATCAAAGTATCATCCATTAATTTAACAACAAAACAATGGCTTCTTTCTTTTTGTTGTAAATTATTATCAAATAAATTAAGCGAAAATGATACAATTCAAATTACTAGTGTTGTATCACAATGTATTGATTCATCAAAAGATATTCTTTCTATTAGACCATTAGAATCTATTAAAATTCTTATTTCCCGACTTAGTATAGAAGTTAGATCAAATCTTTCACTAAATTCAAAAAGGTTATATGAAACTAGTCAAATTGTTGAATCTCTTATTATTATTTTAAATGATTTCATTCGATTTAATGAAGGTGATGAAATTGAGAATAATATTATTATACATTCAAGAGTAGAAATAGATCAACTTGCTAATATTTATTATCCAATGCTTCCAGTTCTTTATGATTTACAAACGGATGTTATTAGTTGGTTGCAAGAATGTATTTTAGAAGAGTCAACTATTAATGATATTATTTTAAATGAATCAAAGAGACAATTCCTTGTTCATCTATTTCAATTAGTTCTAACTGGTGCAGTGTTAGTTCTTGATATAAAGAAGAAAAACGAATTTGAACTAATTTTACCTCTATTAGAAGTTTTTAAAAAAAAGGATGATGATTTTAAAATGTTATGGAATGCATGGGAAACATTTAACGATGTAATTATTGAAAATAATTAAATTAATTATCAATTTCATGTTCATTTAATACATCATGATCATCATTATAATCTAAATGAACAAATGCACGATCAACATTGGGATGTTTTTCTAATTTTGTTTGTAAAGACTCACCAATGTCATGAGCTTCCATCAATGTCATATTTTCTTCCAAGATGATATCTACTTCAACCATATATCCCATTGATAAATGAAATGCACGAACAGTGTCTATTGCCTTGATTCTTGGATCATGATTCCAACACGTAACAATGATTTGAGAAATAAATTCTTGTGGTGCTGCTTTACCTGACATAATAGAAAGATATTCTAATAACGTCATAAACCAATTTAACATAATATAAAATGATAATACAATTCCACCAACAGCATCTAACCACCAAAAATAATAATATCCAACGATTGACATACACATACCAAATGTATTCGTTAAAATATCATTTCTATGATCATCAGCTAATGCTCCTGCAGCAGGATTATTTACTGTTCTACAATATAAATATAAACAACATTTGAGGAATATTGTTGCACCAATTACACAGATAGGAAACATAGACATTTCAAAGTCTGAACTTCCAGACAATAAAGTTTGACCTGCATTTGTTAATAATTGAATTGTTGCTGTAAACATCGCTGTAGCAAAAACAATAATACCTAAAGGTTCCATTCTCTTTTTACCAATTGGATATTTAATTGGATTAGGTTTTTTCATAAGTAATGCAGTAATAAACATAACAGCTCCAGAAACAATATCAAGGCATGAATCTAAAGCACTTGCAATAACAGTTAATGACCCTGAAACAATAGCAGCAACAATTTTGACAATACATAAACACAAATTAACAATGAAACTTCCATAAATTGCTATTTTTGTTCTCCAATCAGTAATATCATCTTTATCATCTACTGGTACTTCAAAGAGAGAATCAACAAATTTATTTTGTTTTTCATAAAATTTCTTTAATTTCTTATTTTGTTTAGTCATTGGTTTTGAAAATTTATCTTTTTCTATTTTCCAACTATCATCTATAGGATGATACTCATTTGTCTTATATGGCTGCATCTCAATTTCTTTGTCAGGAATAATTTCTAAGTCTTCACTATTCTCTCGTTGCATCATTCAACTCCAGAATGTTAGTTCGTTTCATTTGAGTATTAATTCCTCCTTTTGTTTTATATAACAGATTTAACGAAATTATTGAAAAACCTAACACAACAATTTGTTATGAGAAAAATCAGAAAATAGCCATTTTTCTGTATAAAACAACTTGTTGAATGAATGTCAATTCCTTGAATGAACTTAAAGAACTAAATTCTCAACTTTTTTATTAAGAATGTCTGACCCACAACCATCTCCTTTGTTCTTTCAAAATTTTCTCAAAAAAGTACTTGAGTTGTTAACTACGTCAACTGTTTCATTACAAATTAACATTGAGGATTACTACCATTATTTATCTACACAAATTCCAATTCTTCGTTGGGTTGAATTAGAATATTGTATTAAATATCCTTTAAAAATTCTCCAAATAGATCAACAACATATGCCATCGTTTCACTTTCCCAGAATGGGTGAATGTAAAGCGTACATCTCTTTTATTGATAAATTGCCAGAGTCACAACGTACTTTATTAATAAAAAAGATATCTCAATTACCAATGTCAATTCATGTCCCTGCGTTAGTGGTTGTTGGAAATGAAGTAATTCCTGATTCAATCTCTTGGAAAACACTTTGTGAAACAATTTCGGTTTATGAACTTCCAACACAAAATTGTAAAACAATCATATCTCATCTTCGCAAATTCATCGAAGGAAATATACCACCCATTACTGGTCCAGTGACATTAACCCAAGCTTTAATTCAACAAGGTGTTGAACCGAAAAGTGCTATTTGGGAGCTTTTTAAACAAAATTCAAATAAAGCCCAAATTTCATTAGAAAAAAGTATCAAATTTCCTGAATGTAAAAATCCTTCTGAGCAACAAGATAGGTCTGAAACTGTTGAAAGATCTGTAGAAACACCAAATAGGTTTGACAATGGGTTTACTGCACAAAGATCTGACTTTCCTACAAAAGAAAAAATACAAAGAGAACCACAAAGAGAAATAAGAGACGTAATTCGAGAAGCAATTAACTCAAGAGAAGTACAAAAAGAATCAATACCACAAGAAAGGTTAAGTATTAGAGAACCATTTCAACAAAGAAATTTAGTTGATGTTCAAAAACAATCACTTCAACAACACATACCTGAAGTATTTACTGAATATCAAACAAATAGAAATAGGAGAGATTCTATATCATATACTAATTCTTACACAAATGAACTTATTCCTTTTCTCAGAAGAGATAGTTTTGGTCAATATCCAACCCAAAGAACTTTTAGAAGCACAAGTGGTTATACTCAGAATAAACCATTAGATGTTAGTACTTCTATGGAACATTTTGATTCATTACTTAATGTAAAGAAAAGAGATCTTCAAGCCAATGAAACTGGGCAACTAACACCATTGGATTATGATAATGTTATTGATGTGTTAAATGAACAACCAAAACTGAATTTACTATTTGACTGATGTATAGAAGTGGTTCTTTACTATTTTTATTTTATATACAATACTTTCATTTATTATTTTCTTTTCAGTTAATATGTTATAATTCATTGTATATAATTATCAATGAAATTTCAGTTTTTATATAGATTCTAAAAATAAAAAATTCAATTAATTCTATTAAACAATACAAATTTTTATTAAATACTCATTTCTAATATTTTATACCATAGCACTTACTCTATTCTTTCATTCATATTTTCTTTGTTCATTAAGAAAGAAATAAAAGATAATAAAATATTTTTATTGTTATATAAATAATGATTTTGTATTGATTCATTGGATAATATTCTAATAAAATATTTTAAGAATTTATTTTCATTATTATTGTTCCAATAAGATTCGTTATTAATAATATCAGAATTTATTAACTAGAAAAATATGATGCATTTGATTCTTGCAAAGTATATTAAAATAATAATAGATTCATTAAGTATATTCCTATTCTATATAACCATCAGAAGACTCATTAAATATTAAAACTAAAATGATACTTGTATTACAAAAACAATTCTGTCAAGAAAGAATATTTCATTTCTCAATGCAAAAAAAAATAATTAAGTGGTTATAAACATAATTAAACAAAAAGTTTATTGTAAATATTAAAATCAAATGTATATTGTTTTTTTATTAAGATGAAGATGATTATATTTCATTTGAAAGACATCTACTATTTATTAGACAGCTTATAAACAGAGTGATATACTTTCTATTACTTCATATAGTATCTAACTCAGTTAGTAACATTGCAATTCCTTTTTATAATCGTTTGTCTTGGAATTTTCATGAAGAAGATGAATGTATTTATTTTAATAACATAATGATTTAATATTGGTATTAGATTATAACTAAGTGGCAAATGAATAAACATTTCGTTTCAAACTATAGAAAATAATTTCAAAGATTTTTAAAATATTTTAATGTTAATTTGTTTTAACTTGTTAACTTTTCTCTTGCAATACTGCATGTTTATTTATTCAAAGTTATAAAATAAAATATGGATTTAGTTATAAGTTGATATTGTTAATTATGCACTTCATTTAATTTACATTTCTTAAATTTGCTAACAATCTATCTTGGCTTTTCTTCAATACTATAGTTGATGTAGTATTTAATACAATTTCTTATATAGTACCGTTACTGCTTTTCAGTCGCTTGTTTATTTTTATCATTTTCATAAAATTTATTTATCTCTATAAAATTGAATAGCTCTTTTAATATATTTAATGGTTTGCATCTTTATGGGTTTTAGTATTTTAAATTTGCCTATTATTTTTATTTCATCGTCTTCACAACTTTCTTCCTTCTGTTATTCACCGAATTAAAAACTTTATGATTATTCTATAATTGTTTTTTTTTTTACTTTTTGCTCGGTTTATTTGCACCTTCCAAACTAGTACATTATTTTTACTATTCACCTTCTTATTTATCTTCTTTTGGAATATGTAATAGCAATTTTTAACTTCATTAAATTATCTAGATAGACCTAAACAGTTACCAAACACATTTTTTTTGGTATTTTCATGATAAAACATCTTTCAAAATACAAAACAACCACAGTAGACAAATGTTAATTTATATTATAATTATAATTAAATAATATTATATTTTTTTGTACCTCTTATATAGAATCTTCTACTTTTAATGTTTGAAGCACCCAAATTGTCAAACAATATTTATAGAAACCTAGTCATTCAGCGATAGAAAGAATTTATACAACAGAATAAAAAAAAAGATTTCGAGAAGAGTCGAAACAGACAAACAAATCTGTCATTTTTTAAAATAGATAAGACAATAATGACTTGAGAAAACCAATTAAAAAAAGTATCTTCTAAACTTAAATTTTGAAATAAAAATATAAATATATTTTGAGATTAGCATTCTGAGATATTTTAATGACCACACACACTTCAACTGAGTCCTGCTTGATAATACAACCAAAAGATAGGATTATTACTGTTGAAGATTGGAATGGATTGAGAAGTTGTACTTACTATTTTTGGGCTTCTGTTAAAGATACTTTCTTTTTTGTAAAAAGATTAGTACTATCCTTCAAACACCTTTTGCAAGCATTGAAAACTTTCTTTACTAGTCCAATTATTTGTTGTTTTATATTTATGATTCTTTGTGGATTACTTAATGGCTTATCAATTTCTTTTGCACAAGAATTTCAAAGACAATGGTATAGATCACATCCAACAATTCATTTTAAAGAATTTGTTTTAGATGATCTTCTTTTTTCTGTCTTTTCCTTTAGAGATTTGATTGGATTTGCAGATAAATATCTTGGTTTTCTTGTTGTAGTAATGGTATTTAGATTCTTTTTATGTAAAGGAAGACTAATAGTCTTAAGACGGTTTGTTACCTTGATGGGAGTAATGTTCTTAATGAGAATAATTTGTGTTTATATGACACTATTAAATGACCCTTCTATCAATTATTCAACAGCAACAGGAAATCCATTAGTTGAAAGTTTCCTTATTTCAGGAGGTATTCATGTATCAACAGTAGATAAAATGTTTTCAGGACATACTGGTTCAATAACATTAACTGGAATGTTTCTTATTTATTATCATGATCAATATCCTATCTTTCATTCTAAAAGACTTCATTACTCATTATCTTTAACATTTAAAATTATTGTTCTTTTATATGTTGCATGTGGTTTATGTTTATTTACAATAGTACGTATTCATTATACATCAGATGTATTTGTAGGACTTATTTTAGCTTCAACAATTTTTTGTCTCTATCATTCTTATATTCCACTTGCACAAACAAAAAATAATATTTTTAATTGTATTCTTTGTTGGATTGAGCAAGATGCAGATGATATTCCAAAAATTCAATTTATTAAACAAGAACCAATTCAAAATAATACAACATTATTAGAGTCAATTGAATTTGAATAAAAAAATATTTAAAGAATTAATTCCTTATTTTTATGGTTCTGTTTTGTTCATACAAAAATTTGATTCAAAACAGAGTTAAAAAAGAAATCAAATTATACAAGACGATTATTAATTCTAGTGGGTTTGAATTAAATTTCCAAATGGAATATATTTTGTAATTTCATCTGTAAATGCTTCTAATACTTTACTTTTTAATCCAAAAAACTCCATTAATGAAATAATACCATTTAAAATAGAAGTTGCCATTAAGATTTCAAGGTCTTTCATTTTATTCTTTAATTCTACTTGAATTGAATTATAATTTAAAACCATTTGATTGGGTTCTTCATAAATTTCCTTTTTAGTTTCTTTTAATCTTCTTTCTAATATAAGTTTCCATACTTCAATTTTTATTGGAATTTTACGTAATTTAGTAATAAGTTTTTGTCTAGAAGCAATTGCTATTTTATCACTTATGTCAATAATCCATGCTAATGTCTCATCATCATTTTCCTTTAAACAAACATCACTTAATTCAATAACAATTTTACTAAGTGTTTCAAATCTAGCTTGTTCTATTAACCACGTTTGATGAGCAAGTTGTTCTAGTGAATAACAGATAGAAATTCTTCCTCTTTGTGATTTAATTGTTTCATTGAATTTTTTTGAAGACATTGTATTAGGTTTATAAATCCATTCAACTTCATTAATAGCATTATTATTATTTGGTATTTTTCTTTTATTCTCTAGTGTTGGAGGAATATTTAAATAACAATTTACTTTATCAATATTCACTGTCTTAAATGCTGAAGCAATCCAATTAATACTTTGAGAAATACCTTTTTTTCCTATCTGAATTGAATAAGATAAAGAGTCAATTTTTGAACATACCTCATCAAATGAATATCCTTCATAAATGCTAATCCATTTATTAAACTCTCCATTGTTTTTATATAAATATTGACAAAACATTGGTGTTTTACTAAGAATTAATCCAAATTCAAACCAATCTTCAGGTAATGATAATAACCATGAACATCTATCAAAAAAAACTTTGGGACAATCAGATATCCAACTGTAAGCTAAACATGATTTTGCATTAATCAATAATTGTGCCATAAACCATCTAAAAGCTATAAAATAACGAGAATCTTTTTTTACCCTTAAATGACCTATGTTAGAAAGAAGGGATGAAGTAACGGATGGAGGTATATTGATGAAAGGACCATAAATAATTCCTTTATCTAAATCAACAGATATAACTCCTGGACGAATAATAGATTCATTTGATACTACTCCAATAAAATAAGAAGATAATGGAGTTATTTCATCTAATGTACAAGGAGCTTTACAAAATGAAGTATATTCAAATGGAACAATAAAATCTAATAGTTGTAATACTGCAAAAACAACTGTTGTAGTACATTTAGATGTTAAAATAATTCTTTTATTAATTAACAAAGCTAAAAAAAGTCCAATAAGTTGACTTGGACCAAGAGAATTAAGTAAAATTGAAGGAATATGTAAAGATGTATAAGAAGGTAATGATTGGTTATGAATGAAATAATAACAAAGATGATAATATGGTTGATTCATAGTAATTTGAAGAGTTGTATCCAGTTGATTATAAATAATATGATATTGATTTCCATCAAATATAGGATAAATACAATTTGATTTACTAACTTTAATAGTTGTATTTGGTATTATTCCTTTTCTCCATTTAAGAATTCCATTTTTAAATAATGACAATGATTGAATCTTTGTTGTATTTGTAATATAAACAGATGAATAAATTAATGTTTCTCCAACAATGCTTTGTGTTTGAATTGGGTATTTTTTTGTTAAAGAGTGTTGTGGAGTTAGCTTAATGTAAGTATTTCCTACACACTCATCATGGGTAGTACAAAATGATATAGTAAATCCATTTGGTACTTCATTAAAAGGACTATATAAAATAAGTATAACATGATTTTTTAATATTTTAATTAACATTTAAATTGAATCAAACATTTCATATAAAAATGCGTTATACCAATAATTTTCCATTGGAACAATAACTTTAAATACTTTTGTATTAATTCTAACAAGTGCATAATAATCTTCTTTTCTTTTATCAATAATACAATAATAAATTTGAAATCGAATAACACATTTTTCTTGTTTGTGACATAGTTCCATTGTTTCTTCCTTCTTAAAAACTTTAGTTCTTTTAATTTTTAATAATCTTATGTTTTTTTTAATTACTTTTATTATCTTTTATTACTTTTATTATCTTTTAACTTTCTTTGAGAATCATTCAAAAAACAAAATTATTACTTGAAAATAACAAATTTATTTAAAATTAAATAGCCTAACACCATAACACTGAAGACATTGTTGATTTGACTTCTTTTACCCATATTGGTAAAGACCATTGATATAATTCATCAAAGTCTGTTTGTAACTGATTTGTTGATATTTCATCAAATAATTTAGTGTTTAATAATTGTGCTTCAGATAATGAATAATCAGAAAGAATTGGTAATACTTTTTCAGAATGACTAATCAATATTTTTAATTTAGACTCTTGAAGATATTCTCTATAACTATCTTCATCCCATATTTTAAATGCATCTGGTAGTTCTAATGAAGAAACTGGTCGTTGAAGAATTTGTTTAAGAGAATCTAACGAATTTACTAAAGAATAAAGGAGATTAGTATTTCTGTTATGTAATAAACGATGAATAATTCTTCCTAACAACTGGAATAAATTAAAGTTATTTGATGTGAGTTGGTGTGGAGATGAATATAAAATAAATGTTGAAATTAATGCATTTGATGCAGATGGAGATAAATCTGTTGCAAAAAGAGATGTATTATAAAGAACTGCTGATACTGATGAAAGAAGAGCTGGTGGATAATCTGGATATAAATAAGGTAATAATAAATCAAAAATATTTGGTTGTGGAAATGATGTTTGAGATGTCTGTAATAATCCTTGCATAATAACCATTAAACTATTCTGATCTGTTGTTGTTAATAATGATAAATGGTTTAATAATAATGTTTGGTTACATTCTTTGAATGATAAATAAGTAATAAATAATGGTAAAGATACATTCTTCAATGGTCTGGATAACATTGCAGCAAAAGCATCTTGTGTTGATAATGAAAGAAATGATGTCTTAATTTGATTTTTAATAGTATCAGAATATAACAGTAATGTTAGTAATAATGAATATTCATCAGAATAATCAAATGAACATTTCATCAATTTAATTAAATATTGTGAAGAGAGAGATAATGAAAGTTGTGGTTGTTTATATAAAGGTTTAGATAAACAAAGAAATAACAATGGGTTATAATCTGGATATGAACTAATTACATATAATGTAATTGATTCAAGAATATTATTTGATAAAGATGGTAATACTAGTGGAAGTAATTTCATGATTAGAATGATATGATTTGAACTTTCATACCAGTCTCTTTTTTTAAAAGATGTTATAGCATCACTAATAAATTGAATACACTTGTTCCGTATAGACTCATGACTAATAAAATTTTGATATAATTCTATTTGTTCTTGTTCATCACATTTAATAGTAATTGATTCAATGGAATCAAATATTTCTTTGCTTTTACTCTGGTCATATTCTTCAATAATTTGATTGATGTTTTTAGATATTCCACTTCCCATACAAAACTTTCTCACAATCTTGAGATTTTTTCATGAAATTTTAAATATTGATTTTTTTCTCTAGAAAAGATACCACCTATTATTGTTTTATAAAACGAAAATAAACAAAATATTATATTTTTGTTATTAAACACAAAATTCTATTTAAACAATATAAACATTTTGAATCAATGAAATGAAAATTATTATCATTTTTTTAATGGAAATACCTTTTTATTTAAAATAATTAAATTAGAAGAAAATAAATAGTGAGAATTTAATATGTATTGAAGAAATAGATTAATCCATCCTATCATTAGTGAAATTTTCATATTTAAAAACCAAAAGAATATTCAAAAAAGATTTTTCAACTTTTAGTAGAGATTTATAATAACATTAATTAAAAAAGTAATAATAAAAAAATAAAAGATATTATTATGAAGTTAATTATTATCTATTAACACAAAAAATAAAATTGTTATTTATCTAATTTTACTTTCGTTTTTATTAAAAAGTAATAATAACTCAAAAACTATAATACAAACAAGATTAATTCATTTCAGATGAAATAATCAAAGAAGTAAGAATAATGGAAATGAACGGGAAAAAGTCGGATTATTAGATAAAAATAAAAGAAAACCTACAAATTTAAAAGTATTAAAAAAATATAAAAATAATAACATTATTTCATGCACCCCATTGTTATATTATTCTTGATTAGTATTTCTCTTGCAGAATGTGACAGTAATCAATATCTCAATAATAGAGGAGATTGCTTAGAATGTGATGGAGTATATCCTGGATGTAATAGTTGTGATTCTACTAAATGTACTTCTTGTAAACCAGGATATAAACAAATACCATCACAAGATGCAGCAGTTAATTGTGAATGTTTGTTAAATGTAATGAAAAATATTGTTATTTTAGTTTAATATTAAATTTCAATAGATTTAGATGGGTTTACTTCAGAAGAAAAAACAAGTTGTAATACTGGATTTATCCAAAATTCAAGTTCATGTGAGTGTTTGTTTTAATTAAATTAAAATATGAAAAATAAAATAATAGAATAGATTGCTTAAATTGTGTTACTGGTAGTTGTGATCCACAAAATAAATGTACAAATTGTTTACCTGATTATTTCTTAAAAGAAGGAAATTGTTATACTTGTTATAAATGTAAATCAGGAAAATGTGCCTCTATTACAGGATGTACAGAATGTGAAACAGGATATTATTCCAAAGATGGATTTTGTAATTGTTTGTTTATTTATTCTATCTTTGTTAATATTTTATATTCAAATTATTAGCTTGTGGAGCTTGTAAGTCTGATAAATGTGGTGATTCTGGTTGTACAGAATGTGAAGATGGATATTATTTAAAGGATGGATATTGTACTAGATGTGAGAATTGTGAAGGGGAATGTTCAAATAGTGAAGGATGTGCTATGTGTAAATTCCATTATTATGAAGATGAAGGAATGTGTTTGAGGTGTAGTCTTTCATGTAAAGAGGGATGTGATAAAACAGGATGTATTGATTCAAATTCTGCATCTCTTTCTTTTATTTCATTGGCGTTGATTCTCGTTTTTATCTCCTTCTTTTAAATGAAATTTGAATAACAAAACTATTCTTTGATTTTAATAATAAAAAAAAAAACAAAAGAAATTAATAACAATAATTAATAAATCAATAAACTAATCATGATTCAAATCACATATTTGATTTTGCATACGTTGTGTTCTTTTTAAAATTAATTCTTCTATCTTTTCATCAGAAACACCAATATCTAATTCAGAATGATTTCCTGATTCATCATCTGCTTTAAGAAGAAGTCTAGTAATTTGTTCAAAAGTAATTCTTTGGTCAGGCTCTTGTTTCCATGATTCACTAATAACTTCTTTTAATATTTGAGGCATAGTATCACCTAAAGGTAATCGTTTTCCACTTTCTACATAATTTTTAATTTCAAATATTGATTTAAAGTCTTTATAAGGTTCATCTTGGTAAAAAACTTCCCATGCAGATATACCAAAAGAATATACATCACTTGCAAAAGAATATCTATCAAAATAAGTTTCAGGAGCAGCATAAATTGGAGTACCCAAACCTTTGTCTTCATTATTATTTTTTTTCTTTACTACTCTTGAAGTACCAAAGTCAGTAATTTTTACACAACAAGCAGAGTCTGAGTATAATGAATTAACTAAGAGATTATCAGGTTTTAAATCTAAATGAAGAATATTATTTTCATGTAAGAATTCCATTCCTCTTGCAGTATCAAATAACATTTTTATCTTTAATTTATATGATAACTTTATAAAATCTTCTTTTTCTGTTCTTAAATATTCACCTAATGATCCTAAAACAAAATATTGAATGACCATTGTTACTTGAGGTAAATATGTAACTGATCCCATATAATTTGCAATGAATGGATTTCTTAATTTACTCATCATTTCACATTCTGCTATTACTTCTTGTTTTAATTCATTCATTTCTTCTTCTGTTAAATTTTGCCATTTAAATACTTTCACTGCAACTGGAACACTACGATAACTTCCTATATACACTTGACCCATAGCTCCTTCAGCAATAGGTTTTTCAGACATATTTAATTCATCCATATCAATATGAGTAGAAGATGCTGCATCTGTAGTAATAGTAAGATTATAATGATAATGTTTAGCAACATTTTTACAAAGTTTTTCCATTTGTCTTTGGTTATCTTGAGTCCAATCATTAAATGTTTTATCTTTTAATAATTCTGCAATAGTTTCAAGTGTAGATTTTGATTTACTAAACCAAACAGTATATGGAATTTTCATATCTCTAATTTTTGTAGTACAATGAAGTGTCATATAACTTGTAATAATTTTTGATGGAGAATGAGGTCTAATGATAAGAACTTGAGGTTCAAAATGAAAAACAAATTTAGGATTATTTGGTGTATGAAAAATAATCATCATATATTTATTTTTAGAATAATTTTTCACTTCAATTCTTTCAAATCTTGTATCTTCTATATCTGTTGTTCCATTTTCATTACCATAATCTAACTCATATGGAAATACTTTATATCTATTAATTTTTAAAGGTTCTTTATTTAATGATCCATTAATATAATAATGATATGTTGGTTGTTGTTGTTTAAATACTTCAATATCAGCTCTTTCATACCTTAACAAAACGAAAAATAATAATATGAATAATCCCATAATAAATAACAATCCTACTGAACTTCCTAATATTATTCCAATAATAGCTCCAGTAGAAATTCGTTTTGACATACATGACCCTGGATTATCTGGATCAGGAATATATCCACTAACACAATAACAAAATGAATCACAATTAACTCCACCATCACATTGTTCTTTTTTTGTTGTTCCATCACTAAGTGTTATAGTATCAATTATTCCATTACCACATTTTTCATATTTACATCTTTTATTTTCTGTTCTAAAAAATCCATTCTCTGTATCACATCTACATGTTTCCGTACAACCATCACTTCCTTGTGAACATTCATCTTTTGGTCCTAATTTCCCAGTAAGACAACTTGGATAAACACATAGATTATTACGTTGAATATAATCAGAATCATCACAATGACAATATGAATCACATCCATATGTTCCATATTTACATAAACCGTTATGATTTTCTACTTGCCATTGATTATTATAATAACATAATTTATGACAATCATCACCTCCAAATCCTGGATTGCAACGACATCTTCCTTCTTCAGTAACACAGATACCTTGACCTAATTTATGATTACAATCATGTGGACAAATAGCTCTAAAAACTACATCAATATCACTTCCTTTATCTTCAGTTAATACAGTAAAAAATCTTTCAGTTGTTTGAGATGATTCATCTCCACGAATTCTAACTTTAAACCCATTATTTCTACTTAATATATGACCAAAAGGTTTACCAATATAAAGTACTTTACAAGTATTATTTGCAGTATATTCTTGAAGATAATTAACTTTATCTGCAGCAGTACTATCAAGTAAAATAGAATAATCACCTTTAAAATTCATTCTAAACAATAAAAATTTCATTAATCTACATTGAGCACAATATGAATAATCATGAATTCCTCTTGCTTTTACAGGAAAATGAACAAATTCTTCTTTAGTTAAATCTGAAGCTAAAGAATCAGCAACTTCTTGAGTAAAAATATAATATGGATCAAAATATTTTCCATCCATTTGAGAAATTGTTAAAGACATTTCAGCATTTCCACAACCTTCAATAGATGTAAAAAGATAAATAAATTCATCACTTTTATTAGAATGTGATTTATAAGCAGGTACCATCATAGTAAAATTATATTCATCTTTATTCATTTGGTTATGAGCATAACAATGAGGATTTTGATCAAAAGAATTTGAATTTGTCATATCAAGAGAAAATATAACAGGTGCTTTATTTATTTTTTCAATTTCAGCAACAAATACAGCATTAGTAACTTGATTTAAATTAATTTTAAACCATTTTCCAAATCTATATTTTTGTTTATATTGACAAAAACTATAATCTACACTTGAATCATCGTTTAATGTAAAGATTATTTTTTCATTTAATTTTATCTCTTGAATATCTGATGGTAACCATCCTGTTTTTTGTATAACATTTGTTGTTTTCAAACATTCATCATTGTTTGGAATATATGCTTCTGTAACTGGTTTATATGGATTTACCCATTGACAATGTCTACAGGAATTATCTTGTTCATATCCAGCTAAGCAATGACTTGCACATGTATAACTAGTTAAACATGCAGGACATCCAGGAGAACATTGGAGTGCATTTCCAATTACAATGAACTGTATTATAATACTAATCATCCTGAAATAAAAATAAATTGATCAATTAATTTAAGATACCTTTTGATGAAAATTTTGGTACTTCTTTTTTTTTCTTTTGGTAAACTATCTCCTAGGGTAGTTCAACTCGCATTTTTCTCTTTCTCCTTGATGTTTGATTTAAATTCTTAATAAATTATTTTTATAAACAATTCCTACTAATAACCTATTTTCATTTTTATATTCTATTCGTTGGTTTATTAAAAGATTAATTCTTTTTTTGAAAGCTTTTCGTTTCAATTATGTCTTTTTTTCGTTAAACTGGAATGTAATTCATTACAGATTTGTTCTTGTGTGGTTTCGGTGGAGTTTACCACCATGTTTTTGTTTTATTGAATGAGTAATGTTTGTACAAATTCGTATAGTATTGAATTTTTGTTGAAAAATTCTATCTACATGTTTGATTATTTGATGTTGTTTTTTTGTATTTTATTTATAAAAATTAGAAATGCGTTAAAAAGGAAATAAATACAATAAACCCTTTTTTAAAAATAACTTATCAAAATATCATTTCAAAACTTATCGAAGTCTATAGAAAGACAAATATGAGACTAAAGATATTTCTCCTTATACATATAAATACCTCACATGTAGTTTTTTTTTAAATGAGTATAGTATCATTTGAATTATTATTAAGTCTTTAATTCAAAAAAATGGTGCAATGCTCTATTTATATTAAACAGTGGCATATATGAGTGAGTAGTACTGAAACATGTGTCTTATTATTATTTTAAAAATTAACTTATTATTCTTCTATGACGTTAATTGGTTTTTTTTATAGTTTTGTTTTGTTCTTTGTTGTTGTACTTTTAACGTTTGAATAATTAAAAATATCAAAAAACTGAGTATAACAATATATCTTCTTTGAACAAAAAAAAATATTGAGTTAATTGATGAAACCTCTCATTACATCGTTCATGAGGTTAATTAGTATATTTTGTTTTCAAGTACATTTAGAATGAATTACAGATAAAAATAAGAATTAGAAATTAGTAATGAAAAATTAATAATTTGGTATGAATGAATATTCAAACAGAATTAACGTGGCAGTTAAAAGAATGAAGTTTACTTTTTTATTTTTGTTAAACATACCAAAAAGATTGAAAATAAACTCACCAAAATAAAATAAAAAGAATAAACCTTTTTGAAGTGGTGAGAGATAAAGATTATTATTACCCCCACCCACCAATCAATTTATTTAATTATATTAATTTAAAGGAATGTTTTGTATAAATTCATTCTATCTTATTAAACAATTAATTATATTATTATAAACTCATTTTTTTTATTAATTTACAATTATCTATTCAATTTGTTTTATAGATCCAATTTATAGTTTTAATTCTGTTATCTTACTTAAAACAAATATTTTTATTATAAATAATGTTATAACAATAATAATAACAAAAAAAAGAAAATGGTATAAATAACAAAAATGATATTTTTGTTAAAGAATGGATTATTATAAAAATTTTTATCAGAAAGTTGATAAAACTTTATTTTATGATTAAATATAAAAAAGTTCAAAAAGTGAACTTAATAAAATAAAAGTTAAACCGTCATAAAAGATTTCTTCTGTATTAGAAACGAGTTTTATTCCATTATTTCTAAATAAATGATTTAATTTACTACACAAAATGTGAGTATTTAAACCCTCTTTTTAAAGATTTTTGATTCGTTACTTCTGTTTTATGCTTACCCAAAACCCATATTTATATGAATTTAATACTAAAAATCCATACACAAAACCACTTATCCCAGTTGATAAATTTGAAACTATTCATACTAAAATTCAACAACATGCTGTTGCTTATCTTTGTAGTATTGAACCATCAAATAGTACTTTATACCAATCACTTGCTGAAGAATTTAAAGAAGAGCTTAATTATGAATCATATAAAGAATCAGAAAGAGAATTTTTTGCTGGTTGTTTTGATCTAGAATCAAATATGTTTAAATCAATGTTCACTTTTTGTGTTGTTCAAATGGCTTGTTACTTAAGATTCCTTAAAGAAAGAAAGATGTATAAAAAAGAGTTAGACCAAATTGAAATCAAAAACCCAATGTATATCATTTCTATGCCAAGAAGTGGATCTACTTTCACTCATTTTTGTTTAGTATCAGATCCACATGCTTCATCAATTCAAATGTATGAACATTTTTGTCCTGGAAGTAAAACAATGTCAGAAGAAGGAAGACTTAAAATTGCTACAGCTGTTGTTAATAGTATTAACAACAGTAATGATCAATTTAAATCTATTCATGCTTTAAATCCACATAATCCAGAAGAAGAATACTTTTTCCAAACAGTTCAAAATGAATGTTTTGTTCATATTGGAGGATTACCTCGATTGGAACAATATAGATGTAATGCTTTTACTAGAAATTTTGATTATGTGTATGAAGGAATTATTGATGAAATGAAAATGCATTTAATGGAATTTCCATTAAAAGATAAAGACTTTATTTGTATGAAATGTGCAACACATTTTATAACTCCAATTCCTTTCTTTAAAATCATGGCTAAAGATGAATATAATCCAAGAATTGTTTGGATTCATAGAGATCCAGTTAAACAATTATATAGTGCTATTACTGCTTATTTGAATGCTATGGGAAGATTAAAAGATGATTTAGGTATTAATGATTATGAATTTATTAATAATAATGTTATTTATCTTCATCAATTATATCTTAAAAACGCTCTTACAGTAAGAGAATCATGGATTAAAGAAAATCCAGAACGTAAAAAATTCATTTGTGATATTTCATTCAAAGAAATGATTCAAAACCCAATTGAAACTACCAAGAAAATATATGAATATTTTGGTATTGAATATTCTAAAGAATTTGATGAAGCTTTAAAAGATACGTTAGAAAATGGACAACCACAAAAAGAATTTGGTAGAAAAGAAGCAGAAACATCAAAAATAACTTTTAATCCAGAAGAAATACGTAAAAGTTATGATTGGTATTTTAATTCTGAATATGGAAAATACCTTTAATTAATTTTATTTCTTATACTTATTTTATTTGTTTAAAAAATGATTGTTATTGAAATAATTTTATTATAAAGAAATAAAACAAATTTAGTTTTGAACTAAGTCTAAACCATTATCTCCAAAGTTTTTTATTGATGGTGTACGAACAAGAAATTGTCCACATTTTCTCATTCGAGGAGGTTCTCTTTTTTTAAATTGTGTTGCATTTTGAATAAATGGTGTTTTTCTTCTTGGTGGTGGAATAGATGGTAAAGGAGGTTCTATTTTCTTTATTTTGTCATAACAATCAACACAAACTTTACACTCTTGTAATTGTTTTGGAAGAACTATTCTATAACTAAGACATTTATCACAAAAAACTTTGCCACAATAATTACAATGATGTTTTCTTGTTGTTAAATTAAAACGCACTTTACATTTCATACATTCACTTACTTCTTCTTCATTCATCATAATAACTGTTGTATATTCTTCATTCCCTTCATCATCAACATCAATAAATTCAGTTTTTTGTTCTCCAGTAAGAGCAAAACATAATTGATTTAACCATTCTTTTTTCATTTGTAAAGATTCAGCACTAAGATTAAATGATTTTTCCTTTCCAATTAATTGAATAACATTAGTTTTTTTATCAGTGTCTTTAATTGATTTAAATGCAATAAGTTTAATTGTATTATGATAAGACAATTGTGATCCAACAACAGGAGATCCATAAATAAGTACTTGATCAGAAAATAAGAAACATACTCTCTTTTTTATCCCTTTTCTACAATATTTATTTAATGTTCCTTCTAATAACAGAAGATGAGGTTGGTCTAAAATATAACTTGAAACATTTATTGGTAATGATGAAAACCTCATAACTATTTTTTGAAGACGTTCTCTATTTTGTTCATCAGCCATTGTAAGGTTTATTTCATTTGCTAATTGTTGAAAAATATTTAAAGCAATTTCTGCATTTAAATAATCTGGATGTTCTTTTGGTGTGCATTTCATATACTCCTTCATTAAAAGAACATATCTTGGAATTCTTTGTACTGGAGTAATTAATAATCCTTCTAAACCCAACGAACATTTATCATTTGGGTTTGCCATTTCTTGAAATTTCTTTTTATTTAATAACTTGCCATATCTTTCTATCGCTCGATCATAATTTCTAATATATTCATTATAACAATCAAATAATGTTTTTCTAAATAATAAAACATCACAAATAATATCATTTTGTTCAAAATTAGCTTCTCTCTTTTGAAGGTCATAACATAATAACATCGAATTCATTGCAACTGTTTCAATATTACAAAATAATTGTTCAAAATCATTTTTATCTAAGACATTTGATTTCTGTATCGGTTGAAAATATACATTAATAGCTAATTGTAACATATCTGAATATGTTTTCTCTGTAGTAGCTAATTCATTAACTACTTTTTTCCTTTGTTCCATTACTTTTTTATTTTCTTTTTTAAGTTCTTTTTTTCTACTTTTTTCTTCTTTTTCTATTACAACCTCCTTCTTCCATTTATTTGTATGTCATTTCTATATTACTTCATATCCTTATTTCTTATAAAATTTCTTGGTAATAAGTCTTTTAATATCCAACATATCATTCCATTATAGTATTGATATTGTACAAAGAAACTACTAACAGAAAGTGTATCAAATAAATTCACTTCTAATTGTCATAATAACAGGATATTCGTTTAAACATGAATGATATTAGAAGTATTATTGAAGAATTTGATTGTTTGAATGATTAGAATAGCATTACAAAACACTCATTTTCAGTTATTGAAATACCAGTAAAAATACACCACAACACAATTATTCTTATTCTTTAAACAAAGTCATCAATAAGTCAAATAAATTTCTTTTTAATAAGAATATCTCCAATGACATAAATAAGTAATATGTCATTGATTCATAGTTATTTGATATTCTATATTAAAGATATTAAGATAAAAACATTGTTAATAGATAAATACTCATTATTATCACATAATGTATGTTCTTGAGTATTATTTGACAAATAAACCAACTGTAATAGATACTAAATATAATCATCATTAGTTTAGTTGATTCATTAGATTTAAATTCTTGAATAAATAACCGTTGGTGCAATACTATAATAGTTTAATACAAGTTGTCAGAAAATTACAGATGTGCCAAAAACATGAAGAGAAGAATATGACTTTATAATAATCAATCTAATATTATGAACAATGAAATAGATAGTTATGAATTAAGTTAAAAGAATAAACAAATACATGTGGTTCAATTATCAATCAAAATTGGAATAATTAAAGATAATATTATTATGAAAATGATATAATTCATACACATATGAGATGATACATGTTGAATTATATTTTTAAATTTGATAATGACTGAAAATGATTAAAAAGGATTCACAAACATAGTATTAATAAGAAATTGTGTCAAAAACAAAGAAAATAAATACTGAATTGTTTTATTTTTCAAATACGACTTGCTTCAGCTTTCTTAATATCATCATCAGTTATAATCTCATATTGTTTCAAGCGATTTAAAGCATAATTTCCTTCATCTTTCAAGATTTGATAATGAGAATGAATTAAATCTAGAATGGCATATATGACATAAGGATCTTTCATGATAGTATTTGCATACTCACTTTTCAAATTAATCAAATTACAGAGTATTCTTGTTGCTTCATAAGCTACTCTGACATCTCTTACTTCTCTTGTAGAAGTTTGAGGAGTTCTTTTCTCTTTTATTAGTCGAACGGTATATCCAGCTGTTTCTATAATACTATTAATAGCAGTTGGAAGATTCATAAAATGTTCAGCACGAAGGGATGAATTTAAAATTAAACGAGATATAATTTGCTGAATATTAAAGATAATGACTTGGTTAGTTGAGACATTATACCAATCATTAAGTACTTCAAAAATATTAAGATCAAATGTTAAATAGTCTCTATTTTCATGAAGTACAGATATTGAATTAATTACTGATAAAGACATAAGCAATGCACGTTCATCATGTGGATGTATTTTAATATATTCTATTATTTGTTCAGTTACTTTATATGTTTTATATTTTCTAATTGTTTCATCAGTTCTTCCCATATTAGTAAGTAAAAGCATTAAAGATGAATATCCCTCTCCTTCTATCCCTTGAATTCTTTTAACAATATCTTCAACTTTGTTACTTAAGATATTTAATGTATCATCTCTTAATGCAATACTATTTATTGCTTCTATTGCACAAATCATAGTTTCTTTGATAGGACTTTGTGTCATTTCTATTAATGAATTGAGAAATGGAATAAATCTATAACTTTCAATCTTTTCATCATTACAAATACTTCTAAACAATAATAATAATGATTGTTTGATAAATTCATCATTAATTCTTTCAATTTCTTTCTCAATAGGTGTAATTAATTCATCAAAAATACTTCTATAATCTTCTAATTTCAAATCACTAATATCAGTCAATGCTTTAATTGCCATAATTCTAATACCTTTAGCTTGTGCTTCAAAGATTAATTCTTTAAGAATATTAATTGTGTTTTGAGGAAGTAATTTAATTGACTTTTCAATATAACTGTCAATAATTGCAATAATACTTCCATAGATTGTCATTAATTCATTTGGTGCTTGCTTTCCATTTGATAAGAGTTGAAGTAATAATTCAATTATACCTTTCTCACTAATTTCTTTTTGGATATCTTCACAATTTGTTACTAATGTTAATAATCCACTCAATAAACTAGTAACAAATTGAACACTAGTAAGTTGTGTAGTAACCTTTCTTTCATATTCAAATGTACTAAAAAGTTCTTCAAAAATTTTCACTATTTCAGGTTGAATTAATAAGTTTTCTATTCCTTCAATGATATTATGTTCATATAAATATTCTTTAGTTTTAAAATTATTGTTTGTAATAAATGCTAAACAGGTAATGATTTTACTTACATTCTCAATTGGAATATTAGGCTCTACACAGACTTTGAGAATTTTATCAACAATCTTTGTTCCTTTTCCTTCATTAAATAATGTTAATTTCTCATTAAACTCTTTACTATCAACATGTCTTAAAAAGTCTTCAAAAATTCCTAAGTATTTCCCATCATCTGTTGTTTCTATCATACTCATTTGTTCAATCCATTTAATACTTTTTTCATTAATAATGATATTCCCTTCAGAGTACATTTTTTTGAGTGTCTCATCAAGAAGTTCCAATGTGATTGGTTGATTGCTTTGCATATCTTCAAATGTAATGAACAGATTATGATAAGAGACAGTAATGTGTTGCGTCAAGCCAGATCACCACCACGTTATTTTCAAATAACACTTTTCCTAAGTGTGTTATTCAAAGAAAAACTGACTAAACAAAAGAAATGAACGAGGATGAGATAAAAACAGTGTTGAAAAGACTCAAAAGTGAAAGTCAAACACAAAATGAACTAAATGAGAAAGTCCCATACTTAGTTAATACATTAAATGAAAGTAAATATTTAAAATATCAAAACGAGATTTGTGAAATTATTGGTTCAAATATTGGTGTGTATAGTAGAAAAAGTATTATTCAACAAATTTATTACATCCTCCCTGATTTAATTTTTGGAATTAATAAACAAATAACTGAACAACCAATCATTAATAAAGAACAACCATTTTATATTAATCATCCTTTCATACCTAATTCAAAACAAATTATCACTAATCCAATAGTTTTTTCATGTGGTATACTTAAAATTACTATGTTACTTATCAAAAAAAGTCAAGTTAAGTTTTATACACCTATGATAGATTTAATAATCACGATTCTAAAATCTGATAATCACAAAACAAATCTCATTTCATCAACACTTGATTTTGTCTTTGTTTTATTTAAGGGACTCAATTCTCCATCATTTAATCAATATTTTTATCAAACATTATTTGAATGGAGCATAAAAGAAAGGAATATTTCAAAGGAAATTAAAGGAGTTTTAGAAAATATACCAATCAATA